CAGTACTAAAAATAGTGACTTACAACCAGTCCTTTTACGTATGAGTTGTGGTGGCGCAGTGGTTAGAATACAGTACTGCAGCCTACTTCTGCTCACTGTCAGGTGCCTGAAATTTGGCAGATCGAATCTCACCAGGCTCAAGGTTGACTCAGGCTTCCCTCCTTCAGAGGTGGGTAAAATGAGCACCCAGATGGTTGAGGGGGCCATATGCTGACTCCGTAAACTGCTTAGAAAAGGCTATAAAATGCCGTGAAGCAGTATGTATGTATGTACGTATGTATGTATGTAATGTATGTATGTATGTATTTTAGGAAATTTATATTGCTGTCTATTCACACATGGTGACTCAAGATGGCTTACATAAATATAAAAACCTCATATATAAAACAATAAAACTAATATTAAACAATAAAATTGTATCTCCCTAGGGGATGGGACCTGCAACATTCCTTTCCTCCCCGCTCTGGTTGGGTTGGGTACAAATGACTGGCAAGGGACAGTCCTCAGATAACCTGGTCCCAAGCCAGACATAAGTCTAAGTGCTGTTGCTGTTGCTGTTATGACCATCGCAGTGTTTCCATGGCCATGTGATCAAAATTGAGAAGCTGGGCAACTGGCATGTACTTATGACCTTTGCAGTGTCCCAGAGTCACCTGTTTGCCAGTTTGTGACTTTCCCACCTGGCTTCTGCCAAGCAAAGTCAATGGGTGGGAGGGAAACCAGATTTGCTTAACAACTCTATGTTTCACTTAATGACTGCAGCAAAAAAAAAGTCATAAAATTTAGGTGACTCGTTGAAAAACTGCTTTGCTCATTGGTGGAAGTTCCCATCCCAATTGTTGTTGTAAGTCAAGGACTACCAGTATGTATAAGAACTAAATATTTAAGAAGAACAGAATGTTATGATGGAGCTGGGACACTTTGCACATATTTGATTTAGCTTATAGTATCTTATTTCTGCAATTGAGATAAAAGTTAAATCTTTGCAATAGTGGCAAATATCTGTAGTTTGGGTGTAGGATGAGGGTAAAGGTTCATTCTCCGAGCTTGTGGGTTGGTTACTTAAGATGTTACTTAGCCACTGGAGATGTTATTTAGCCTGGTAATGAAACGTGTGGAAACCAATCCACAAGCTCAGAGAATGAATCTTTACCCTCATAGTCAACCTATTGCCAATACAAAACAGTCCGGTATGGTCTTTACAGATTATGATCCACAAACATCAAAGAAGTAAGTCCATTCCTTACTATTCTGGGTCAGAATAGTATTTTTATACAATTTATACAATTTTTTTTTCCTTTTGCTTATCTGCCTGACAGCTTTGGTGAGCTTGGTGTTTTTTGCTGTGTTGTGTGTGCACACAAGCACAAACCTACAGTGTTTCTTTCAGCATCCAGGGGCAGTATCAGAGGAGTCAGGGCGATAATCCAGGTTGTGTTTAGCTTTGCATTAGGCTGGGTTTTAGCTTATATTTCGAGCGACTCTCGCTTGTCAAATTGCCATCGCAGACATTCTTCTCATTTCGCCCCAACAGCCATCCTTCTCTCCTTCCTGTCCTTCGTAAAAATAGTTAGCTTTCCAGATGTTCTTTTTACGAAGATCCTGTAATTTAACAATAAAAGATTCAGGAGGAGTTGGATGCAGAGAGTTATAATTAGGCAATGAAAAAAATTGATCCAAGTGACACTGGGATGACCCAGCTGTGGTCTGGCTGAAAGGAGGGAATTTTACTAGGGGAAAGTGATCCATGCATCTGCTTCAACGGAGTTGCTTAGTTACTGTATGAAACTCAACGTTTTATACAAAGGTGGAGAACCTAAAGATGTATTCTTTCTTTTATTTTCAGGCGGCAAGTGGGTTTTCTTGTTTTTTTTCTTTTCTTTTGAAGACGTTTCGCTTCTCATCCAAGAAGCTTCTTCAGCTCTGACAGGAAAGTGGGGGAATGGAAGGATTTGTATTCCTTGCAGACAGCTGGTCATTTGCATCCTTTTAGAGGGTCGTTGAGGCCACTTGGAGGTTTATCTGTGTCCTCGGAGTCTCCTGAGTAGTTCCAGTTGCCTCCTGAAAAAGCACTTTTGGGAAAACCATGACCTGGATGACTGAGAATCTCTACAGACTTTTAGCTATACAGTTTGGGATGAACACTCTTGGAATGGTGTGGGAAAAAGGAATGGATTTCCAGAGGGAAAAAATTGCAGCTTACAGGAACCAGGAGCACTACTCAGATGACCCTGAGGACACAGATAAACCTCCAAGTGCTTCAATGACCTTCTAAAAGGATGCAAATGACCAGCTGTCTGCAAGGAATAGAAATCCTTCTGTTCCCCACCATCCAGCCAGAGCTGAAGAAGCTTCTTGGATGAGAAGCGAAACATCTTCAAAGAAAAAACAAGAAAGTCCAGTTGCCTCCTAAAAAAACAACAACCACCTTTCAGACAACCATGACCTGGATGACTGAGAATATCTACAAAGGTGGAGAACCATCTTTAGATCATAGTGTGCAACAATTTTGTGGCTGCAATTACCATGGATTTGAGAACTGAGACCTATCGGTGGAGCTGTAGGTCTCTTCTACAAGCCACAACGACATAGAGTATGCCACCCCTAGTTCCTTCTTTTCTCTAGACTAGCCAAACCTAGTTCCTGCAACCATTCTTCATATAGTTTGGTCTCCAGGCCTTTAATCATCCTAGATGCTCTTCTCTGAACTTTTTCCAAAGTCCCAACATCTTTTTTAGTATTGTGGTAACCAAAAGTGGATGCAGTATTCCTGGCGTGGCCTTACTAAGAATCTATCAATCTATCGATCTATCGATCTATCGATCTATCAATCTATCAATCTATCAATCTATCAATCTATCAATCTATC